AAGCTAATCCGTCCATGTTTGTCAAAGGGCGGCGTGACTAAAATCAGAAAATATGCCTCAACAAAGCATGCAAGTCTGTGCTAATGTGTCTGAGGCGTGAAAGGAGTGAAGGGAATCAGAGAAAGTCTCCTTTTTTAATAAAATCAATTTGTCTGATAGTGCAGGTTGGCCGATATCTTTTCCATCTAAACTGTTAAACATTAACAAAGGCTGTTGTCACCTTTGATCGGACTGTTTGCACATTAAGAAACGACGTCTCTCATTGTTACTTCCTTCCTGCTTAGATATCAGCCCCACTCTCCCTGCTTTGAACCTCTGCTGACAGCTCGGCTTCAGAACGCACCCCCCCTGCAGGTGACGTGACTCTCCGTCACGGAGGTAAACACATGTGATTGATCGCTGGCTGAGACTACGGCCCCATATGTGCACAAACACAGGAAATGTATGTAGGATAAACAAGGGAAGGAGTCTGACTGTGTCTCTGAAAACAATACAACTCCACCATGTGTGCACATATGTGTGTGTGTGTGTTTTTATGCCAGTCTCGCTGGCAGACGGTCAGCTGGGGCCGTTTGGATGCCAGTCAGACGGACCATTGACCGAGTGTACATGTGTTTGTGTGCATGCGCTCGTCATTCAAATAACTTTTTGAGGTTGTTTGAGGATGAAGGACACTGAGGACATCTGAATAGCATAAATAATGCTGCTTTAAATCTGTGAAATTTAAAATCAGAGCAGACGCGGAATGAAAGCCTCACTTATGACCTAAAGCAGGGGTGCCCAATCCCGGTCCTCGAGAGCTACCGTCCTGCAGCTTTTAGATGCATCCCTACTCCAACACAGCTGAATCAAATGGTTTGATCTCTTCAGCATGCCATCATGTTTGGCAAAGGCCTGATAACAAGCCATTCATTTGATTCAGGTGTGTGGGAACAAGGATGCATCTAAAAGCTGCAGGACGGTAGCTCTTGAGGACCGGGATTGGGCACCCCTGACCTAAAGCGACTCACTGATGCTGCTGCGTGTTGTGCTGCTTTACTTTACACTGAAACTGTTCTTCACGTTTGCCCTCCTCTCTCATCCCTCTCGTACCTTTTGCTCTTGGATCTGGGCCTTGACCACGCGGTACTCGGCCGATGGAGGCTTCTGATTCGCTACCAGCTCCTCTGTGTCGCTCAGCCAGCTGAGCAACGGCTCCAGAGCATCCTGGAATTTCCCACAATGCAGCAGGGCCTCCTGCAGCTGGGCGATCCGCTCTGCCACCTGAGGACAGCAGAGATGATTGTGAATAGGGAAACAAAAGTGATTCGTAGGTTTCATAGAGTCAAGAGGTTATATCTTGGGATAAAGAAAGAGCCAATAAGCTCCAAAGGAAGTCAATCCCTAAAGACTTTCATGTACTTATGCAGAATTAAAGAGAAGAAATAGTCATGTTAACAGCTTGGCACTTAACTAACAGATTTAAAGAATAGTGAGGCTTATGACGAGTTTGCTTAATACAGACTCGTCCACTTGTCAGGTGGATTCTGAGTAAACTGCTAGCTGGTACCTTTCAACTCAGATATCTGGAGCCATGAACTGGACTGCACGTTTGTTTCTTGGTGCCTTTTGGAGCATTTTGAATCAAATTCACTCTAAAAACAGT